TGGAGAGACTGAAAAATACGCTGGACCCAAAATTACTACCTGAACAGGCTGGTTGACTGGATTCAGGAAGAACAAATCATGTGCGGATCAAATTGAAACGCTACGCATGATCATAGAACAGAGTATAGAATGGCAGTCAACTCGTCACCTCAAATTCATCGATTTTGAAAAGGCCTTCGACAGCGTCGACTGAGAAGTAATTTGTCAGGCAGCTGCTTCAACACTACTGTTTTAGTGTCAGAAACCCTAATCAAACTCACTCAACAGCTATCTGAGGACGCTACATGCCAGAGCTACAGCAGTCGAGTGGGTAGACCTACTGCATTGGAATCCACCAAAGACCTGGAGCCGTTCTGCAAGACCTAGAAGCGAGCGCGAAGAAATCAATTGGTTTACACTAGCTGGTAAAAAGATATTGGATATTGAAGTGATTCACAATGGACAGGTCAGTGACGCCTTTCAAGTGAAGACAGGAGTTAAACAAGGTTGTAGATGATGGATAGTGACTAGCAGTGGAATCCAGCATGCGCTTTCCGTCCTATTTGGGACTCGTCAGCTGGATGTACCAGCTTCCCGGTGAGTGATGTTGTTCCTGCCGGGATTTGGACTCAGGAGCGATCGCTTCGAAAGTGAGAGCGTTATCCACTACACCACCCAGCCACGCTAGTCACTAACTGTGTGACGGGTATAGTTTTTAGTCTACATAATTGTTTTTATATAATACCGTCGTTGATTCGGTCCACGTTATTTTGCCTCATTGGATCAGGGTTTTTTTTAACCCACAGAGCTTATTCCTATGTTAGTATGTGGGTTAAACGCTACCCTACTCTTGGACTTATTAAGAATCTTATGTAACATCTCTGAGGCGCCTTCCTTGTATCGTAACACCGTAGAGATGTTGAATTTCCTCTTCATATAATTGTCACGATTGTTACTACTAACACTACAAGTATTGAGTACATCTTTTTACGATTACCAAGTTATTAATTAAGTAACTTACAAGGGTTTTTATTGGTGAGTTAGGTGACTCTAATGTATCTGATTTCTTGCCTCAGATCTTCTCTTTTACTAGTATTTTCCTTGGGCCTATTACCAAGACGTTTTGCCAAGCCAATAGTAATTGACATAGAGGAGATGATTTGAAGTCGAAGTAACAATTTGAGTGTGAAGGTTTCTTTATATAAACACTAGTCTTTATACTTCTATCCTGTTTTCGTCTTCTTTCGCAACCCAATATCACAAATTCCCCTTCACTGTTTTCAAATTTACAGGTGAATTGGATTGCGTTGACTACTGAATTTAGTTGTGTAAAAGAACTATCTGTGTGCTCCAATTTCAACACCGTAAACGTGTTACATCCATATATCCAGTATATAATACTGTTCCAGTGTGTGGTGAATCTAATAATTCTCTTACGTGGAGTTGAATTTCAGTTGCTCTCATTACAGTCAGTATTTGTTCCCTTCAATGACCAGGAACACTTTGCACTATGTTAACTGAATTTCATTATGCAAGACATTCTTATCTGGAGTTTCCAAGCTTAACCAACGTTTGATGGTACGGTAGTGTGTAAAAAGATCAAACTTTCAGAAAACAGACATTTTCTAAGATTATTTCTCACTGAGCGGTCCAGTATCTCTTACTCAAGGACTACGTGATCTTTCTTGGGTACTTCAGCATTCCTGAAGTAACTGGAAATACTGTTAGGTGTTAGAAATCTAGTCCTATAACCTTTGTAACCTTCATTTTCACTAAGAAATTCAGACTTACAAGTTGAATCCTAACATCTGGCATCGAAGTAGTGTGCAACGCTGGGTTATATTATTTCTTGTAGTATCAGTATTGCAAGGGAGAGGAAAGTGACTGACTGGATAATAATAAATGTGTGACCGATAACAACGTGAATGGACACTTGGTGTGGATGCAAATAACGACTGTTCTCCCTCAGAACCTTATACTTCACTGAGCTGCAAAAATAAGAAAACAAAGACTGATGTTTGATAATAAGAAAGATACTTTATTTGATAAAAATACATCATTTACATACATTTTTCATGAACACATAAAACCACTAGGTCGAAAGCTGGATATTTATTTTGATCGATCATATGTAGGACAAAACTATCCAGTTAGGTTCCTCCTGACCCCGCAGTAACATGCAACAAAGATCGAAATCTCAAACTTCTATCTCAGCGGCTGATGACTTAAAATGTTGATTTCTATTTAGGTTGGTTCTTATCAAAGACTGAAAGACTTCGACCACCATTCTAAGCTTCAGGGCTACAATAGTCGTCATACAACAGCCAGTTTGTGTAAACAGTAAATTTACTTCATGTGCATAGATTTAAAGACAGAATGATCAAGTAGTAGACTTTTTCAATGTTCCTCGTTAACAACTCAGAGTTTAGGTACATTGATTGACCGCTAGAGGGAGGGTAATCAACTTTATATTGTCTAGTCTTGAGTGCTGATCGAACTTTGCTGATTATTCTACATTGTGACCACGAAACTAGCAGACGTGTTATCGCAGTGCACTCAGACGTTAGTTGGATGGCGGAATCGGCATGAAGTCCCGCTTGACCTAGGTTTCGTGTTTATTGACATTCGTCAGCAAGGTGTGTATGAAACCTTTGCGGATCTGACGTCCTACCTGGGATTCAAATCCATGCCATTCAGTGCTGCAGGCAGGGAGGACTGGGCCAGCCATCGTTTCCATAAGGGAGTCAGCAATAGCATTATACTTTTGGCCATCGGTGGGAAATCCCTTATTTCTGTCGCTACGTCCACCAGTACAATTTAGCCCTTAGACCCCCCATAACAACGTCAATCCGCTGCCCAGCAGGCCTTTTCTACGTGGTAGGACCTCAAGATACAAACCTTCTAGTCGAAGGAGCTCATTGGGTCATTGTTATGTGCAAGACAGACCACCACATCAAAGTAGCAGTTATCTGTAAAAAAGATAGGCAGATATCGTCAAAGCGTTTCATATTTACTCCAAGGTAAAGAAAGACTACTGTAAAGATATGCTGAAATTAACCTGTTAAGATATTTCGTTGCTTTAAGGCATCAATAATGAACTGCCTAACGTTAGTTGTTAACTGAGTTATCTGAGTTATTACAACTCGACTCCAAGAATTTTACTTTTACATATCGGATTGAGTTCAAGTTTCAGAAAGGCCTTGAATTTCAAATTTATAGTTATATATATATATATATATATATATATATATATATATATTGCGTTCAGTAAACTTTTCCACATCTTCCAGTTGATCTCACTGAAGGCAGACTTTCTGAATAATTAGCTAGAGGTTAGAATTAGGTAAATGATTGGTTCCTTAAAGTATACAAGAAACAGTTGGGAAAAATACGTCATTTAAAAGTTGTCAGTAGTTTATGGTTTCTCCTGTTTTTGGTGCTGCTAACTAGGCACACAAGTTCTTCCTTACCATTCAGGCATGGACTGCGTTTCTGAGTCTAAAAGCGCTACAGAAACGTGAACCTGCAAGAAGTTGACTAACAGTATCACACTTTTATTTACCTGGTAATCAGTGTTATCGCGTAATCAAGGGACTCATATCGGACACAACGACACTGTTCTGTGTTACGTCCACTGAAGACGTTTTGGGCGAAATCGATGATCACATTACATTGCAATCAACTCCTAAAACCAGAAGTCAATCACTATCAAAGAGCATGAGTATATAGGCAGCTTGAAACTGACGAGGGTATGCAAAACACCCAGTGGTCACCGGAAGGTATAACAGAATAGCTTCTTTCTGCTTGCTTGTTGAGTGACAATTTTAAACCGTGTATATACTCGGGCTCCGGGACGTAAGAGTCTATATGCCAATAATCGCTGATCAATTCGGTTATATCAATGACAAAGACTTAGGAGCTGTAACATGAAAACCGTGTATTCACATTCCAAAAAGATAGGAAATCATGTCAGCAATCTGCTCTCCTCAATGATTTTCAAGTATCTAACTAAACATGTTTGCATACATCGCATTTGAGCAACATGGAATATTACAAAGACTTCCAGAGACGAGATTCGATATTAAGAAGAGACGGCTGACGTAACACCAAAGTGTGTACCAATGTCACTCGTTGATTTTCTTCGAAAAAGGGTAACATTCCCTTGTTTCGATCCTTTGATTTACTAATCAGTTCTCTAAGCCAATTACTTATACATTACACTGTTTTAACTCACTTCGGATGAGACGACATGAATCTGTTTCCATTCTGTGAACAGTTTTATGTAAATCAACCACTTACCTCTGTGTAATTTTCGAGTAGAAAATATCTAATTCTCTTTGTTTAATTCCTAACTCGTAAATGAATGGAACTGCATCTTTTACTGGATTAATATGCGTGAAGAAGCTATGAATATCTTTCAATTGAAATATCCTCAATTCAAACGTTTCAGTCTTTTTTGAGTATTATCATCGCAATCTTTTGGCTTACCTGCAAAGACAGACAGATAGACAAAATCAACGTAGGGCCTTGCGCTCAAGTGCATCGCTTCAAGTTGTCACACTTTGAATGTTATTACATTCAAAGAACAGGTGGATAAAAAACTGATATAAAAGTAGGGAGATTAAACAATCTGAAGTTTACAGATTACATGTAGTTGTCACTTTCAAGATATTTGTGTTTCAGCCTAAAAATAATTCTATGCTAAGGTTGATTCTGATAAGATTGAATGTTTTTTTTATCAAAGTAAATAATTGTACAGTAGTTTTTCCCATCTCTTAATACCTTCTTATAAGTAGTACCCCCACTACAAACTTTTCTATTCTAATATTCTCTAAGACCTGAGTAGTATCTCCGTTCCAATGTTAAATCTTCACGCTGCTATAACAATTTGCAAGACAAGTTTTTCAACTTTTGCATTAGGTTTTCATCAGCTGAATAGGGAAAGATAGTTAATGTTATTTTCATTGTTTTTTTCAAATTTTGTTTCATTTTAGTGAACTATTAAATATTTTCATAACTGGATGACTAGAAAAATCCATGAGGGAAGTATGATTACTGTGGACAACTGGAAAATGATGATATGCAAGTCTGTATGGATAACAGGTGAGAGATGTTTATTTGCTAGTTGTTACAACTGTCTTGTGATATTACACTTCTAGTTGACCAACTTATGCATTCAGTACTGGGATCCAGTGCATTGGTGAAGTTCGACATCACTTACTAAGCTATGGCTCACTGGTTTGGGGGAATGAATTTCAACCAATGTGTCATGGATTCGAATCCCGCTCCACCTACCAAGGTTTGGTCAACCAGGTAGTATCGTAGGCGCCTTACTTACTGGAAGAATGTAAAAAAGGTTGCTGATTCCATTCTTTTTTTGCCAAATCATTTAGCTTCAAGATACGATAGTGGGGGTGACTGGTAGATTTCGACTAGCCCTCTGCATGCATCATATACGAATGAGACATGTTACTATCTGATGGTCAGTTCATATGAACGATTGTTATCAAAATTATTCAGATATGTCACCTTCCTCTTTGACACCTCTAACAAATAATTTGGTTTGAAATCTTGGAACTGAGGTAACTACAATGTTTCCATTGGAAAACACTCATCATTCTTAATAATTAATGACAGTTTTATGTTACGCGTCACAGTTCCTCATTTTTACCAATCACTTTGCGACAAAAAACTATGTTGGCGCTTTAGCTGGATAGATGACAATCTTCACATTCGTAAAAAATGTCAATATGAATAGTATGAAGTTGATCGTCTAATTAAGTTATTTAGATGAACTCAGTTTTTTTTAACAGTTTGACACAAATCATCACCAGTTGGTCCTAGCTTCTTGGCTAGAGGACCTCTAGGTCTCGTATCGATGAGTTAGTCCCATACCAGAAGAAAACAGATATTTGGTGCTCCTGAGTTATCAGAGGTTTCCAATTGATGTCAGTCCGTGGTGAATGCTACTGTAAAAAGTAAATCTTCATAAACATAAATGTACTTTATAACATTTACAAAAGCTTTTTGATTAAATCTAAATAAATTTCAGCGCGATCATTTGGTCCGATATGTAGCGATCAGTCATAAGCTGGTCTGCAGCACAAGACAATGCGACGAAGCTCAAAATGCTTAACTTTCCAATCTGATAGGATAGAATGGACGGATTTAGGGTTGGCTGGTGAACATGTAGGCTGTTGAATGACGGTGCACGGAAAAATGTCAGTTGACATTTTCAAGGATTATTTGGATTCATCTGAAGATAGTTGAAAATTGAGTAAGTCTTTAGATAACCGGCTTTATGTCCATAATGAATCTCACTGGTGTTTGAACTCATAGTCCTCAGTCATTCAAAGAGTACAGTACTCTTTAATCTATGAGTCATCACCTACTAACCAATCTCTGGGAATTCAACTAGTCAGATTATGTTGTAACAGAACAGCTGATTGACCTAACATCCTCTAATTTCCCCATTTAGCAAACAGAGTCGTATGAATTTTGATAAACACAAGTTTCGGTACAAATCCTGATATCTTTACTTTCGTTTGATATCGCTTGGTGAGGAAGTTACCGTACACAAAAAGTAAGGTCTACTGTTATCAAACTACCGACTGACTTAACTGAAAAACACTGACTATCAGAACTTAGTACAGTCAAAAATTGAAGCTTCAACCTCATTTTATGATACTAATGGAGCTTGAACATTTGCAGCTCGCTCTACAGAACAATGAAATGTCAGTCTGTCACTTACTTGGCTTACTCAACTTCAAATGCCTCATTTTCACATAGAGACATGTTCAACTTCACTAAAAACCTGCTGTTATTACCTACCAGCGTGTATTTGGTTATACATTTGACAAAACAATAAGAAGGTATGACTTGTCTGCTTCATATAGTGTAAGTGTAATTAGGACTACTGATGTCGTCACGTGAAACCCATTACTCCTTCTTTTGTCGGACGTATTTATGTTGCACGTTGGAAATTTAGCTGAATACGTAACCATAGAAAGTGTTTCTTGTGAACTATTTGCTTATGACAATATGGCCATATAAGTGATAACACAGCTGAATCCAATCCGATTCAAAACCATTTGTATGAAACACCAAACACATCTTTCATAGACATATTAATCGATTTATGTACAGAAAACCTATAACAATGATAGATGGTGGCCGGCAGTGTAATCCATCCTGAGGCTTGTTTCTTTCGATTTGGGACTCATCATCTGGGGGTACCTTCTTTCGCCAAGACTCACACCCAGGACCAGTCGTTTCAATCACCAGAATGTTATCCACTGGGTGACTGAGTGTCGATAACCACTCTTTCGGCTACATGTATGGTATGTTTTTGATGATGGTCCAGTATCTAACACTGGCGTTTGAAACGATTGGTTCTGGGCTGGAGTCTTAGTGGGAACCACAACACTTACTGGAAAGCACCTGCCCCCAGTTGATGAGCTCTAAATGGGACGAAAAACACTCTAGATTCCCCTACTAAGCACAATCTATCACTAACATGAGAGTTGAAAATACCAGGAATATCAAAGCATCTATACAGTGGCCCATATGCGAATAATGGTCTACCAATTCGGTCCAATCTACCACGAAGATTCACAACCTATGGCACTGAAAGCTATTAAAGTTTTGTCCAGTTCGTCAACAACTATGCCGAGACGATTCTGCGAAGGAAGAGACAACCACGTCTACGAAAATGTTGGCGAAAAGTTTCCGAAGCATCAAAAGCTTACCACTCACCATTGTCCCGAAGACAGATGTCTTTATCAAGCTTCTATGCAAAGATGACTCTGGTGGGGCTATTCTCAATCAAAGCCTTAACGCTTCTATCAGAAGAAAATACTCCACAGCTATGGTCAGGTTAACAGAAACCACTAAGTCTGTATACTCGATAAAATGTTTACGGTATGTGAACAATAAATGTCACACCACACCGGTGACACATACATGAAAAGAATCCATGCATCTATGCTGTCAGAATCTCGAAGTATATTCTAAGGTGATTCTGAAATCAAATAGAATCCTACAACCTCACAAACTTCAATGGTAGGCACGTTAGCTTTTCGATTGTCAAAAGTATCATTGAAACAGGTGACAGGATTGAGGTTTTACCATTCTTGAGATGTTTTGATGAAACATGTAGGACATATATCCTCAAATTTGTCGATGCCTTAGCTATCAGGAAGTATCAGCCATCTTGAAAGGCTCAAAAATAACTTTTCAATATATCACTGATTGATGAGAACTATTTTGAAAGTGATATCAATGTGGCATTATTCTTCTCTGCGTATTGATTTAAGTTGTCAGTCTGGTCTTCAATTTCGCCTTTCTGCCCGGCCTGTTTCTATGGTGTAACCCCTTTATTCTATTCTTCTCGTTTTCTTGAAGTAAACTGAGAACAGGATTTCACAATGGTCGGTGGATGACAATCGAGTATAGGGTTTTGGCTTTTAGGCTCTGAATAACGAAAAAACCTTGTTTGTTCATTGAAAAAAACAAAAGGAAACTACAATCAAGATAATTATCTTTTTGAAGACTCATTTGCACAGCTTTACACTCGTAAACACGCAGGTGGTATGACAAAGTACACAGTTGAGATTTTAAACCAGGAATCGCCAAAATTTCACATGTTCATAAGTGTCCAATCATCACTCCTTTTGAACAGTTTAGTCCAACTCTGCAGAGAACTTTGAACTAGGTCTCCAGAGGAGTCAGATGTTTAGAGTCTATGAGGCGTTTAGTGAGTGAGCTGGAGACGGTTTTGTACTCACCCATCGGTAACCAGATTGAACAGTGTTGGCTAGCGCTTGGTATGGCCGAAGTACTCAGCCTCACAGGAGCAAGTGAACTTGTAAATACACAATGTCTGTCATGTACTGAAGAAATAGATTTTGACGTGTGAACATAATAAAGAGGTTTGCAGTATAGAATGTTCCACTTAGCGACTTTGACAAGTGTTGAGGAGGGATGTCCTCGATAATGTCACCTCTGAATCTGTGGTTCATTAAAGATAGTTCCTTCTTCGGAGAAGAATGAATCTGTTCCACAGTCTTTTTCTTCTATTCCATACTTATGTATATATATATGGACAAAATAGGTATCCATTTCACTCTGGTTTTCGAAAATTCTCCCACTGATTTCAGTCTTTGGTGAATTATACCTTGATTCCAAGGTATTTCTCATTGGTTTCAGGTTGCTACTCATCACAGACTCATATTAGTTGGAGAGCTATTGAAAAACTAAGAGAAATGGACACCCATTCCGTCCTAGTATGAGATTCCTCAGCAGTGCACGACCACGATATCGCAAGGGGTCGAGCCCATGACCTTCAGATTCCGTGGCCAGAATGTTGCCATTCAACCACTGGGTCGGAATTTAACAGTCTAAATTTTCTTACTTCTGTCAGTTCAAAATATAGAGCGGCTTCTATCCAATGGCTATCTGTCCACACATCCAAACAGTTGATCCTGCAGATCATGTCTTATGGTTAGAAGTTTGAGAAAGTCATCTCAAAGCAAGTCACTAATGAGCAGTAGACAGTCCACTGAATAGTATGGACAGTGATACACCATTCAGACAAACAAGTTAAGACCCATTAAGTCAAAGTGATTGCAGCCCTCAAAACAATAATGGTACTCGTCTCAACACAGCATGTCGAGTTACTATGAAAACAAATTCAACTTGTATGACAGTAGCTAGTTAGCTGACTTGTGTACGAACTACCCATGTGAAGAATATGTCAAGTCTAGTAGCACCATTTCGACAATGTTCATACCGAAAACTCCAAAACACGATGCGATGCTTTTCAGCTCAAGCTTTGTCAATAAGGTTTGATGTTGTGATACTTGAGACCAGTTGTCAGGTAACCGATCCTACTCAACTAAAGGTCTCATCTTTATTCACAGTAATCGACTGTCTTCAATAAATTCACATTTTGTGGCGAATATTTGTAGATTAGGATATGAATGTTCCAAGTGACTACTGCTCTAAACTACGATTTCAGTTGACAAACTTTTCTGCGTCATGACAGACATCTTCATCAGAGCACCGGAGCTTCACGAAGAGGTGAAGCAACTGGTTTTACATAG